TAGTACAACATGGCTACACATATAAAACTGGGAATGACCAACTTTGAATTTGCAAAATAATCACTTCATCATCGAAGCCGCAAAATAACCAATAAACAATCCCCAAGAAATCATAAGTAACATCCTTGTCTTTGCAAGTTTATCTTCCAACTTGACGACTTTATCCACTTCATATTGGTGTATAGCCTTCATGGCAATTACTTCTTCATTCAATTTGTCCCTTTGCATCTTAATCTCCTCAATCGACGATGTTACATCTTTAATATTAGTCCAATCACTTCGCGAGAAGATTTCATCTTCCCATTCCCAAAACCCACATGAATTAGGCTGTCAAACATAAATCAAAAAGAAGATTTAGGTTTCAAAATTGAAGTAAAATATTAAAAAAAAAAAAAAGAAGAAGAGAACTGAAAAATATGGTAACCTTGGGCCTCGGACATTTGTAGAATTTTCTTCCAGGTTTATATGGAGTAGACGAAGTGAAGTGTTTGGCTATAATGCCACAGCGACACCTAATCTATGATGAACAGCTAGCTTGCGACATTTAACAACCAAAGCTACGACGAGAATGAAATAAAGAGAAATTTTTGGGAAGATTTCAGTCGAGCCATAAGTTCTTAGCAGTGGAGTTTATTTTGGGGGAGAAGAAGAAGACGCTGGGTATAGGTCAAATTGGTTGGACTGAAATTGAGTTTTGGGGGACTAAATAGCCGTTAGGTTTGGGGCTAATAAATTAGTGGAAGTCCCAATTGGCAACTGAGTTGGCAACTGACTTGGAAAAAAGAGATGGGGTTAGCTGCCACTTGGACGGGGCTAGGGTTAGGGGTAATTGCATATACTTTATTAACCGTAGGGTGGAGATTGAACGTAAAGTGTAACGGGGGACGAACGTGCATGAATTTTAAAAGTACAGGGGCAATAATGACCTTTTTCCCTTTATACTATTACCTATGAAGGTTACAAAATGATTGTCTTAAACATGACATTAACAATTGAGATCATGGGGGAAGATCATTGGGAGAGGATATGGAGGTGTGGGAGTTACAATCATAATAGTGATGAGTAGTGGGAGGTTATTTACATCATGAGTAAAAATAGTGGGAGTGGTGGACATCCATATTAACTATAGGTTTTACAACACTCCCCCTTGGATGCCCAAAAATAGATAATATGCCTCATTAAAACCTTACTAAAAAAAATCCTGTGGGAAAAAATCTTAGTGAAGGAAAAAGAGTACACATATCTGTATACGCTTTATTTGCTGCCTCGTTAAAAACCTTACCAGGAAAACCTAGTGGGACAAAATCTAGGCTAAGTGAAAAAGAGTACAGCGCGTATCTTACTCCCCCTCATGAAAACATCGCTTTATTTCTCGAAGACGCCGCATTCCGATCTTCTGTCTCAACTTCTCAAATGTTGTGTTGGTAATGCTTTAGTGAACAGATCAGCCAAATTATCACATGAACGAATCTGTTGAACATTAATTTGACCATTTTGTTGAAGATCATGCATGAAAAAGAACTTTGGTGAAATGTGCTTTGTTTTGTCTCCTTTGATGTATCCTCCTTTCAGTTGAGCGATGCAAGCAGCATCGTCTTCATATAGTGTAGTTGGATTATCTTTTTTCATAAGAAAACCACACATTTCCTGAATATGCTGAGTCATTGATCTCAACCAAACACATTCCCAACTAGCTTCATGAATGGCTATTATCACAACATGATTTGAAGATATGGCAGCTATTGTTTGTTTCATTGAATGCCATGATATAGTTGTACCTCCATACGTAAACAAATAGCCTGTTTGAGATCGGGCTTTATGTGGATCAGGCAAATAACCTGCATCAGCATAGCCAATCATTTCTGACTTGAATTCATTAGAATAAAATAATCCCATATCTATAGTTCCTCGAAGATATCTAAATATATGCTTAACACCATTCCAGTGTCTTCTTGTCGGGGAGGAGCTGAATCTTGCTAATAAGCTTACTGCAAAAGCAATATCTGGTCGGGTATTGTTGGCAAGATACATCAGTGCCCCAATTGCACTAAGATATGGAGTTTCATCACCAACGAGCTCTTCATCATTTTCTTGAGGCCGAAATGGATCTTTATTTATATCAAGCGATCTCGCAACCATTGGGGTACTCAATGGATGTGCATTATCCATGTAAAATCGCTTTAAACCTTTTCAGTGTATGTTGATTGATGGATAAAAATTCCATTTGGTACATGCTCAATTTGTAGGCCAAGATAAATTTCTGTCTTACCAAGATCTTTCATTTCAAATTCTTTCTTCAAACACTCTACAGCTTTTGGAAGCTCTTTACAAGTGCCAATGATATTCAAGTCATCAACATACACAACTATGATGAAAAATTCAGATCCAGACCTCTTAATAAAGACACTAGGGCAAATAGGATCATTTTTGTACCTTTCGTTTAACAAATACTCACTAAGACGATTGTACCACATCCTCCCTGATTGTTTCAATCCGTATAAGGATTCTGAAGCTTTATTGAACAAGTTTTCCTTGAACTTTTATGTGCTTCAGGAACTTTAAATCCTTCAGGGATTTTCATAAAAATTTCATTGTCCAATGAGCCATATAAGTAGGTTGTGACAACATCCATCAACCGCATATCAAGCTTTTCATGGACTGCCATATTTATTAAATACCTGAAGGTAATTGCATCTACCACAGGAGAATATGTCTCCATATAATCAATGTCAGGCCTTTGCGAAAATCCTTGTGCCACAAGTCGTGCTTTATATCTTACGCTTCACCTTTTTCATTTCGTTTTCGCACAAAAACCCATTTGTACCCCACTGGCTTGACACCTTCAGGCGTTCGGACTATTGGTCCGAAAACTTCACGTTTGTTGAGTGAAGCCAATTCAGCTTGAATTGCGTTTTTCCATTTTGGCCAATCATTTCTCTGTCACATTCATCGACAGATTTTGGCTCAAGATCCTCATCTTGTTGCATTATTTCAACTGCAACATTATATTCAAAATTGTTGTAAACAACAATGTTATTTCGATTCCACCTTTTTCCCGTAGAGACATAACTTATTGAGATCTCTTCAGTTTCATCATTTCCAGGTACTAGAACCTCCTGTGAGGTCCTACCAATTACTGTGTCTTTATGCTCCTCTTGAGCAATTGCCACCATGTTATGATCAACTTGATCATTTGCTCCTTTCCTTTTACCGGGATTCTTATCCTTGGAACCGATTGATCTACGTTTAAGGCGTGGCCTAGACTCATTTGTATTATCATACTGTCCACCTGGGACATCAACTCGAATTGGAGCATTTACAGCTGGAATATGCGATTTAGTAACCCGGAAGGTTAGTAAATGCATTTGGCTATTGATTTGCAACATTTTGCATATAAATGATCTTTTGAACTTCTTGTTCACATTGATTTGTATGAGGATCCAAATGAGATAGAGATAATACGTTCCAATCTATCTCTTTTTTCAGCTGTTTATTTTCTCCCCCTAAAGTTGGAAAAATTGATTCATCAAAATGACAATCAGCAAATATGGCTGTAAACAAATCTCCTGTCATAGGCTCTAGATATTTAATAATAGAAGGAGATTTATAACCAACATATACTCCCAAACTTCTTTGGGGACCCATCTTTATGTTTGTGGTGGAGCAATTGGAACATATACCGCACATCCAAAAATTCTTGGATGGAAAATATTTGGCTCCTGACCAAAAGCCAACTGTAATGGGGAGACTTCACGATAACTGGTTGGCCTTATGCGCACAAGTGCTGCTGCATGCAAAATAGCATGTCCCCACACTGAAAAGGGAAGTTTTGTCCTCATAAGCAATGGTCTAGATATTAATTGGAGGCGTTTAATCAATGATTCTGCTAGACCATTTTGAGTATGAACATGAGCAACCGGATGCTCAACTTTTAATCTAGTGGCCATACAATAATCAATAAAGGCTTGAGATGTAAATTCACCAGCATTATCAAGACGAATTGTCTTAATTGCATAATCTGGAAATTGTGCTCTTAACCTTATTATTTGGGCCAACAATCTCGCAAATGCCATATTACGAGTTGACAATAAACACACATGTGACCATCTTGTAGATGAATCTATCAAGACCATAAAATACTTGAATGGTCCACATGGAGGGTATATAGGCCCACATATATCACCCTGTATACGTTCTAGAAATGCAGGGGATTCAATCCCAATTTTAGTTGCTGATGGTTTAATAACCAATTTTCTTTGAGAACAAGCAGCACAAGAGAATTCCTTAAATTGAAGAATCTTCTTGTTCTTCAATGTGTGCCCATTTGAATTCTCTATTATTCTGCGCATCATGTTAGAACCGGGATGGCCCAACTGGCGATGCCAAATGATAAAATCATTAGAAGTAGTAAACCTTTTGTATACTATGGCATGTGATTCAACCATACCAATATTTGTATGGTACAACCCAGAAGCAAATGCGGGTATTTTTCGTGCACACATTTTTTCCCCGCTTTTATTGTAGTAATATAAAGGTATTCAACCTTTCCTTCATTTGATGTCTCAACATGGTAGCCATTTTGGCGAATAGCTTTGAAGCTCAACAAGTTTCTTTGAGACTTACTACAATACAATGCATTATCAATAATTAATATCGTTCCTCCAGGTAGTAGTAAGGCCGCTCTTCCAGAGCCCTCAATCAACTACCAGATATTGTATTAACATATGCCTTTTTCATAACCAAATAAGAGAAAAATTTCTTTTCTCTTAATATTGTGTGAGTTGTAGCACTATCCAAAAGACATAAATTTTCATTGCTCATCTTGGAGAAGACTGGGAAATTTTAATTTCTTCATAAAAAAAAGTACATCATAAGAAATACGGAAAACCTAACATCACCAACGACAACTTAAGTACTACTTGAAAATAAAAACAACTTTAGACGAGACAAAAACACTGAAAATAAAAATAACAACATAATTGCATTCCCCAGTAAAATGATCAAACTTTAGTTTTGATTTCCAAAGAAATCTTCAACTTCCAAATGAGTAAGATCATCGAGGCCTTGAAATCATCATCATTCAAAGCAAGATTTGCCTCGGCATTGTCATCATTTTTGTTTGAACGCCCTGCCTCAAAATTATTTTTAAAGGTCAAGTGAGACTCCACTGGGTCATTAGTAGAAGATGCTCCAACATTATTTGCCTTTCTTTTGATGGAATTTTGATAGAGCCTGACAAAATGCTCAGGTGCACGACATTCAATTTTCCAATGACCTTTCATGCCACAGCGGTGGCAGTTACCGCTTTTGCCTCTTGAAGGATTGTTTTGAGAACCCATATTGTTCTCTAGTTTGCCATGACCACCATGATGACGACTATTATATCGTCTCTTACCATTGCCATGCCCACGTACATTCATATGTCCATGATTATTATTCTGTCTTTTTCCAGACTTATCACGTCTAGCTTCCATATTCGCTTCAGGAAGCGGAGCTGACCCTGTGGGACGGGCTTCATGATTTTTCAGCAAAAGAGTATTATGTTGCTCAGCCACCAGAAGGCATGAGATCAATTCAGTACTTTTTAAAACCCCTTTCACGGTATTGCTGCTGTAATACCATATTTGAGGCATGAAAAGTTGTAAGAGTCTTTTCCAACAAATCCTCATCATTCATAACATCCCCACATAATTTCAATTGGGAATTTATTCGAAATAAAACAGAGTTATACTCACTTACGGTCTTAAAATCTTGCAACCGTAGGTGCATCCACTCATATCGAGCCCTTGGCAATACCGTAGCCTTAAGGTGATCATACCTTTCCTTCAGGCCAGTCCACAATTCAAGTGGATCTTTCACTGTCAAATATTCAACCTTCAAGCCTTCATCCAAATGATGACGAAGGAAAATCATGGCATTCGCTTTGTCTTGGCTTGATGCCTCATTACCCTGAGTAATGGTGTTACCAAAGCCTTTAGCGGCTAAGTGAATCTCAGCATCGAGAACCCATGATAGGTAATTTTTTCTAGAAATGTCAAGTGCCACAAACTCAAGCTTTGACAAATTCGACATAGTGAAACTATCAAAGATGATAAATCATTAAAAATCACTAGGATAATAGCGTAAAGAATCTTAAAATTTGACATAATATCAAATTTGTGATCTATATACACTAAAGTGATAATTCCACAGAAAAGAATACTATTTGTTTCTTCAAATTATTAGTATATCTTTTATGTTAACTAGAACGAAAATGTCTTCTAACTTTAACACAATTTCAAATGTCGAACAACATAAAATAAGTATTCTTTTCTCAATTAATTCTATTAACATGAAAATTATCAACTTTCACATGACAATCATACAAATAACTTAAAATAAAGAAATATAGATGTAACGACCCGACCGGTCGTTTTGAGCCCTAGCACGCCGTTCAGTAGTTCGAGGCCATGAGCAGCTTCAATTCAGGTATTATGACTTGTACGCGTGGTCGGGATTAAATTTTGGGAAGTTCGGAGTCAACTTGGAGAGGAAATTCTCATTTCAGAAGCTTTAAGTTGAAAGAATTAACTAAGATCGGATTTTTGAGTAACCGACCTCGGAATCAGGATTCGAAGGTTCCAGCAGGTTCGTATGATGATTTCGGACATGGGCGTATGTCAGGGTCGGGTTTTGGATGACCCGGGAGCGTTTTGGCGCCTGTTGTGAAAGTTAGAATTTTGGAAGAAATTCTATAAGTTTGGGTTGAAGTGCATTTCAGTGTTATCGATGTCCGTTTGGGATTTCGAGTCAGGGAATAGCTCCATATGGCGATTCTAGAGTTGGGAGCGCAATCGCAAATGAATTCGGAGGTCCGTGGGTCATTTTGGAGTCATTTGGCTAAAGATAGAAATTTGAAGGTTTTTGAGAAGTTTGACCGGAAGTGGACTTTTTGATATCGGGGTCGGAATCCGATTCCGGAAGTTGGAGTAGGTCCGTAATGTCGAATATGATTTGTGCGCAAAATTTGAAGTCAATCAGGCGTGATTTGATGGGTTTAATCATCGAAAGTAGAAGTTTGAAATTCTAAAGTTCATAAAGCTTGGATTGGAGGTCGATTCTTGGTTTTGGCGTTGTTTGATATGATTTGAGGCCTCGAACAAGTCCGTAATGTATTTTGGGACTGGTTGGTATGATTGGTTGGGGTCCCGGGGGCCTCGGGTGGATTCCGGGTGGTTAACGGATCGAAAATGGAATTTTGGAAAAGGATGAAGTTGCTGGTATCTGGTATGACCGCACCTGCAAGGGTTTGGCCGCAGAAGCGGCTAGGACGGCGCAGATGCGGTTTTGGGGTCAGGAGTGAAGAGACCGCAGATGCGGTCGTGGGGCCGCAGAAGCGGGACCGCACCTGCGATGGATGAGTTGCAGAAGCGGAAGGGAGGCCTGGTGAGCATAACCGCAGAAGCGGAAGGTTGGCCCGCATCTGCGGAACCGCAGAAGCGGTCACAGGACCGCAGGTGCGGAAAGTGCTGGAGGCAGTGGCTCTTTTAAAAATCGGGGGTTTGGTCATTTGCCCCTATTTTTCATTTGGTGTGGGCGATTTTGGAGAGCTTCAAGTGGGATTTTTCATCATCAACGATAAGGTAAGCTACTCCCATCCATCTTGAGTTAAATACATCGATTATGTATGGATTTCAGCATGTAAATTGGTAGGAATTTGGGGTTTTGGTAGAAAGACCTAGAAATTTATATTCTTGGAATTTGGCCACGATTTTGGGTATGGAATTTAGAAAAAATTATATATTTGAGTTCGTGAGGCTATGGGTAAACTTATTCTTCGAAAATTTTGGAAATCCGGACACGTGGGCCCGAGGGCATTTTTGTCAACTTTCCGATCGGGGTTAGGAATTATTATAAATTGGATTAATATGAGTAGTTTATCGTATATTAATGGATTTGCATAACTATTGGCTAGTTTTGGAGCGTTGTGCATCAATTTGAGTTTTCGGAAGGGCGTGGAAGGCCGGTTATGGATCTTCGGAGCGAGGTGAGTCTCCTTTCTAACCTTGTAAGAGGGAATTGTCCCCATAGGTGAAATAATTGGTTATGTGCTCCTATTTGTGGGGGCTACGTACGCACGAGGTGACGAGAGTCCCTGCGTAGCTACTAATATGCGTAAGTCCGGGTAGTTTAGGACCCAAAAAGCATGCTATACTTGGAATATCTGTGATCTTATTGACAATTGAATTTCTTAAGTCCTATCGATTTGGTAAATAAATTTCTAAGAAGATTAAACTCCATTTTTCTTGAATTGTTAAAAGAGAATTTGGCTTTCCCTTGAATAATTGTTCCCTGATAAATTCAGGATTGACTGATTGTCGTGTTTATTTATATGTGACCGCGTCGCATGTATGATTCGCGAGCGGGGTAATAGATGCATCTATGGTTCCCGCCATTCGACCCTCTGGCAGTGCACAGTTTAAGTATTGTTGGACCGGGCCGTACGTCCTCGGCATGAGTTGCGCATGCTTGTATTGCTTGTTGTGATAGTTGTTGATACTAATATTTGCTTTCTCCGACTTGAGAAAATTGTCAATTAATGGATCATGAATCCGGAGATTTTAAATAAAAGGAACTTCCACCTGTTTAGTGACTCATCTGAATTTTACTATTGTTCTTAATAAATCCGTGGGTCATCGCATTATTAATATTATTACTGGACCTTAAGTAAGTGTCGAGGTTGCCATCTCGTCTCTACTTCTTCGAGATTAGGCGGGATACTTACTGAGTACACGTTGTTTTTGTACTCATACTACACTTCTGTGCATTTTTGTTGCACGGGCACATGTGCCACTAATGGATTAGCAGGCGTAGCAGCATGGTTGACACGGAGACTAGGTGAGCTATATTTCCTCGAGGCGACCCGCAGCTAGTGTAGTCTCTCTCTCAGGATTTTATTTATTTTCTGTCCAATTGTATTTCAGACAGTTGTTGTACTTTATTCGATTATTCTTAGAAATTGCTCATGCACTCGTGACACCGGGTTCTGGTTATTACTTAATTTGATTTAAGACGATTATCTTTTTAAAAGGATGAATTTGAAGGGAAAACCATAGATTTCAAGAGTATTAAAACGAGGATTTAATTAAGTATTTGGTTGGCTTGCCTGACAGTGGTGTCCGGCGCCATCACGACCCTTAGTGGATTTTGGGTCGTGACAACATGGTATCAGAGCACTAGGTTCCTAGGGTCTCACGAGTCATGAGCAAGTCTAGTAAAGTCTCGCGGATCGATATGGAGACGTCTGTACTTATCTTCGGGAGGCTGCAGGACTGTTAGGAGTACTTCCCTTCTTGATTCCTCATCGTGCGATTTGATTCCTGGAGGCTTATGCCCCTGTTTCCTTCATACTCAATCCTACGCGACGCGAACCGCTTGTTATAAGTCGAGAATAGAAGAATTGTAATGGTACTACCGAGGTGGTGCGGGATGTTTCTCCCTACATAGTTGTCTGAGCTATTATCATCGCCTTGTGGAAGGATATTCTGTCGTTTCAGCTCAGTAGCGGTATTTCTGAGAGCTCTGAGGCTAGGCACAAGTTGCCATGAGGCTATGAACGATTGTTCCGCAGTATTGATATGATGGTAGGATGTTTGCGTATGTGTCAGGGCAGAGAATGACTTGAAGGGAGGTTTACTCAGTGCATGATTCAGAGATTCGGTATTTTACTTCTGGCGGAGGAAAGGCAATCGGACTAAGAATGTGCAGATTTGGGTTGATGGAGTAAGGAGATTTGGTATTTGCGAGCGTGGTAGAGTTTTCTTCTATGATGAGGTGTAGTTGTCCCTATTGAATGTACTAAGTTCGCCGGTGTTATGATCTTCTACAATTCGCCGTTGGGTAAGATATTGCAAAATAGTATTGAAGAAGCGGCTGTCACATATCGCGGGGTGCGGCAGTGCAGGATTGAATCAGTGTTCCCAATGTCGACGATTCGAGGAAGATGATCTTCGAAAAGGCTTAAAGTTAGCAGCAATTGTGGGTCCAAGTGCCACGAAGATAGATTTTATTTAAGGCAACAACCGAGCAGCAAAGGATAAGGAAGGACATGTGGGGAGTGTCAGGCGGTAGTTAAAATTTCTAGAAGGCCAGGCATAAGAAGCAAAGGTCGAGTAGTCGACTAAAGAGATGAGTTTCGCCAACGTGGGAGAGTTTTGAGTGATTTGGGAATTTTTGTGATTGGTGATTTGGGCCTGCGGATTAATTTGAAGTACGGGCTGTTATGCGGCATGAGGTTTGATATAACGGAAAGGAGCTACTAGAAATGGATAAGGATACAACCTAACTTCGAATGGGAAGGATGTTGCCCCGCACTTAATTGATGTCCACGAGGGGTGAATGGACTCGTGCAGCTAGAGGGTGAGCTTGGACTCGAGATGGGTCATTAATGTCGTGGTGGTTGCACCCCGTGTAGCGGTGTTGGAAGTCGTCGGCACGTAGATCCCACAGGCGGGATATCTCCAGTGAGCAGGACGGCGGTCGCATGGTTGGCGAAGTTTCTGCAAAGGGTTTTATTGGCTATGCAGCAAGGAGATCGGTCGTGTGAACGTGGTTGATGATTCGGGGTAAGGGTTTTATAGAAAAGATTCCGAGAATTTTTGCGGTTGATTGCGTAAGGTTATGTCAATAAGAAATCAAGGATCATGGTGAAGTCCAGAGTTGTGCAATAATGGCTCAAGCTAAGTGGGAGAGTCCCACCGCCTATGATTAGGGTTGCATGGTTAACTACTTGCGACATTTCTGATTATTAGCATATTGATGGGTCATTTCAGCTACGGAAAGGACATAAGCGGTGATTTGAGCAAAATAATTGTTAAAGGTGTGCTATGGTTGGCCTTGTTGGCCCATGTTCAGACTTGGGGAAGGATTCAGGATTTATGCCTTGTATAGATGTGGGTTTCGAGGGAAGTGAGTCTGCCGGATGCTTCGCCGAGAGGGTATTTATGTGCTAGAAGATTATGGGGTTGATTATATTTGGGGCCAAGCCAGAGCGGGTGGCTCTCAACAACGGTCCTAGTGGATTCAAAGGGGTA